AGGGCCCGGGAGACCACCCGAGGGGCAGGACGAGACCCCGCCCGGGCAGAAACTCCCGGGACACAGGGAGATCCCTTTGGTGGCCGAGACCCCTGCCCTGGGCCAGCCCTGCCCTTCACCCCCGCACCACCGCAGAGGCCGCGATCGGGCCTGGACCTTTTCCCGGCAGCCACCCACTCTGGACTCAGACTCCAACTGCCAGGCTGAGACCCCGCAGACCTGGGATCCGCCCCCTTCCCTGCCCTCTCACTCCAGACCCTCCCTGAGCGCGCAGGCAGCGGAGACCTTCCTCCGTCCCGCCTCTCCAGGCCTTGCGGACGCCCCAGCCTGTTCAGGCCTTTCTTGCCGGCTTGCCTGCCCCCTTGCCTCTGTCCCAGCCTGGCATCCACACAGCACCCCCACTGTCCCTCCGCCCCAGGCCCGTGTCCTACCCTAGGCCTCCCACAGCCTCACTCTGCCTGCGACTTTGGAGGGTGAGATCGGACCGCCTTCCCCCGGAGCCACAGCCTCCCCTGCTTCTGCCGGCCTGGGGCGGCGGCCCTCCCCATCCCTCTTCACAAGCAGGCCAGAGCCCTTTCCTGGTGGTCAGGTCCCTTCTCTGTGTCCCCCGCCCACAAGAACCAGGTTTCCGTAATAAATTCTTTCCCCTCTTTAGTTGGGACTCAGCCAGCAGCAACGGGGGAGTGGGGAGATATGCAGACAACTGGGGAAGAGCCCCAGGAGCTTGAGGAGCGGGCCTGGGTGTGCCTCGGCTCTGGGGCCCTGGCCAGCCGTGCCCACCAAGGGGCTAGTGAGCCTTTGGAGGTCACTGCGCTGTGGTCTCTGCGAGGGGCCAGGCGGATGGGGTTCCAATTCCAGCCCCCCTCAGCCTGGAGGCCTCCGCAACTGCATACCTCACACAGAAGCAAACCTGCCTCTGGCGGGTTGGGGGGGAGTCCTGGTTGGCTCCCCAAGAGGCTCAATACACATTGATCTGCTCTCTTCCCTCAGACTAAGCTTTTGGGGTCAGCTGAGCAGTCAGCCACATGCTTTTGAAGTCTGCACAGCCACCCCTGGGCTGTGCGCTTGTACTGGTGGCTTGGGGATGGTTCCTTGGGTTGAGCAGGGTTGAGTCTGGGTCCCTGCTGACCCCAGTTCTGGACAGGGATCCACACCGGATCTGGGACAGAGCTGGCCCCTCACTGACCCAGCCAGCTTCCCCCACCCCTGGCTGTGTGCAGTCCCCGGGAGGCTGTGGGCAGCACAGCAGGGCTGTGGGAACAATCTAGCCTTTTGCAGAGGTGACCAGAGAAAGAAGGAACTTCCCTCGTGAAGGGGACAAAACATGACCCCCCACCCTGTGGGGGGCGGAGAAGGGCCTTGGAGGCCATGGAAGGCTGGGTGGGCCAGGTGGGAGCACAGCATGAAGCCTCAGGAGAGAGTGAGGGGAGCAGCTGTGGCTGGCAAACCTCTGGACTGGGGAGGTGGCTGGGTCGTGGGGGTGCTGTGGAGTGGGGAGAGAGCTGGCAAAGGTGCCAGGTGGTTCCTGTGCCTGTGAGGCCCCTGGGCCCGGGGGTAGGGATGATGACTGGTCAACAATCGTGTTTACGCCTCTGGAGACTGGAGCCATGGAAAGCTGGCATCACGAAGCCTCTGGCTTGGTCTTGGGGAAGATGATCAATGAGCAGCACTGTGCCCTTGGCTGTGGTGACCATCTGTCCCCTCTGAGGAGGTCACCCCAGGGCTGGACTCTGCACAGCCTAAGGGGGGAAGGCCTGCCAGGGGCGATGAGGGCGCTGTAGCCTGAGCAGAGATGCCACCCAAATTTGTGTGGGGGGTGGGGAGCAGGCCAAGCACTCCCCTGACCGGAGCTGCAGGACATGAGGGTCTCACAGCCTTGGGTGGCTGGGTTGCGTCATCTCTGCTCCTGTTTGTCACGGGAGAGACACACACACACACACACACACTGCATTAAAAAGCGTATCTGTGGAGGAAAGCAAAGCAGGGGGGAGAATGGGGTGTTTCAGGGTTCAGTAGGAGGGCGAGTTCTTGCCGAGGAGGTACAGGGTGAGCACAGCTCTGGAGGGAGGACGCACACAGCCCAGACATCCTGGGCGATATGTCTCTGGCAGTGGGAGCAGCAGGTGCAAAGGGGCACGCAGCTCGGCACGCCCGAGCTGTGCGGGAGTGGAGAGGTGTGGCCCCAGGGGCCTTGTGTGGGGGCTTTGGGGAAATGGGTGACAGCGGAGGGACACCGGCAGTGGGTTGTAGCAGTCCAGGCCGTGGGTGCTGGCCCGCAGCGGGCTAAGGCAAGCCCTGCGAGACTGACGGGTGGGGCCTTGGGACTCATAGATGCTGGTATGGGTGTGAGGGGAGGTGCCCCGGGGGTTTGGGCTCAGCAGGGAACACGGACTCCTCCTGGTCAGCCCCTCTCAGGTGGTGGGTGGGCCACTTTGAGAAGAGGCTGCTGGGATGGGAGTGGGCAGCCCTTGCCCCCACTTCTCACCTGGCTGTGGCCCCAGAAGGCTTTTCCCATCATCCTGGTTTGGGGCAAGAAGTCACGTGACCTGTGATGCTAGGATTGAATATACAGCCGCTTCCCTCCTCATTCCCACCCTCCCTGGGCATCTGACCCCAGGTGGACCTCCAAATTATCGCTGCCTTGTGTCCCCCATTCTTGTGTGTAGGAGGTGGGGTTGTCGCCTGAGATCTCCAAGTCATTTATGAAGGTGTCCCTTCTCCTCCTAGGAGGGAGCCATGGAGCTGCTGCAGGAGCTGAAGGCCATGCCAGTCACGCTGCACCTGTTGCAGGTAGGGCCCTGCATGTCCCTTGCCCGGGGGAGCTCCAGGGACAGCTCCTTGGCACCTAGCACAGCTTCCTGGTCCCCATCCTGTCCTTAGTCAGCACACACACCTTCCCTGAGGAGACAGCCTTGCCCTTAGGCATTGCTTGAGATGAGAGGAGCGTCGGTGACCCATCCTGTCCTTCACTGAGGCCCCCAGGTCCCACATGGGCACTCAGCCCCCTTGCTGGTCTCCTGCCCCACACTGTGGGGGTCTGGGTCCGGTTGCCGCCCCAGCCTGGGTGCTCACCCTGCAGTCCACCCGCGTCGGCGTGTCTGTCAACGCCCTGCGGAAGCACAGCTCGGATGAGGACGTCATCGCGCTGGCCAAGTCGCTCATCAAGTCCTGGAAGAAGCTCCTGGGTGCGTGTCCGGCAGCACTGACTGGCTGAGCGTGGGGCAAGGGGCCCCTGAGAAGCGTCGGCCTCTCGCTGGCCAGTGCCGTGTAGGGCCACCTGGGAATGGGGGCAGACAGACCCCTGTCCTGGAAGCTGGGACTCGGGCTGAGAGGGAGGGGCGTCTGTGCAGAGCCGGGGAGGGGAGAGCTGAGAGCTGAGAACCTGAGCAGGGCGGGAGGGCTCCACAGAAGGGTGTCAGGGCAGCAAGGGCAGTGGAGGTGGGGGCAGGGGAGGGGGCTGTTACTGCCGGAGGGAACAGGCACAGTCTTTTCTGGGGACAGCGCAGTGACTGAGGGCTGCAGACAGCCATCTCTGGACCCTGAGGCCCCCTCCCTTCCCAGCCTCTCCTGAGCTCTGTCCAAACCCTTGCAAAATGCAGCTATGTGTCCTAGGCCTCCCTCTAGTCCTGCGTGACCATCGGGCCACATGTGGGACAAGTGTGTTTATTCTGGTGGCATGTGGGAAGGTCCCCAGCACAGACCTGGGTTTTGGGAGTCTTTAGGGGGACATGCTCAGTGGATAGTGACTCACTCTGGTGCGTTTTGGGGAATGGTCATGCCCTGCTTGCCTGGGGTGACCTGCCTTTGTCCAAGTTCAGATGCTTTCTTTACCTGTGGAGGTTGTCACTGGGGGAGGTGTTCGTATTTCAGGGTCATCCTGGGTGGATGGCAGCTCGCTGTGCCAGGACCGGCAGTGAGGGGACCCCAGAAAGGCCCACAGGCAGCCTGCTCGAGTGGAGCCATGTATGGGAAAGGGGTCTGAGGGCCGTCTCAGGACCTTCTGAGGCTGGGAGGGAGGGCCCCCAGTTGGTTCTTAGCGGGAAGACCCAGCGGCTGGCCTGGGTCGGGGTCGGGGCAGGGCCGGTGGGAGGCTGAGGCCACCCCTGCCGATCTGCTCCCCAGTCCTTGGCCTGGCCCTGCCCTGGGGCTGCTTTCCCCTAGCCAGCCTCCCTTTCTGCGAACCTGCAGATGCTTCAGACGCCAAAGCCAGGGAGCGCCGGAGGGGCGGGCCTCTGCCCACGTCGTCTTCAAAGGAGGCCTCTGAGGCCGGTGATCCCAGGTAGCACACCTGGACTGCAGCGCATGCCCTCCGCCGCCTGGGCCCCACTCGGCCTGCGTGAGGGTGCTGACGTCTGTGCCCTGGGCGGGCCGAGACCACATGAACAGCGGGGCCCTTCCAGCCCCTTGGAGGGGACTCTTCCCAGGGAGCCACGCCTGGTTCAGTCGGCCTCTTTCTAGAAGCTTCCCTTCCAGAGTTCCTTTGGACACTTGTGTGCAGCCCCTGCCATCCGAGGGGAGAGGCTGTGTCTTGCCTGCCAGGAGCTGTGGGGACTCCTGCTCACGTCCCCTGGCTCCAGGCCTCTGTCCTGGGTCTGCTTCTTGGTGGCCAGCTCAGGCTGCACTCCTTTGAAGCAGCCCCTCCCTTCCTGTGGGTGCCCAGGCTGTAGCCGAGTGTGTCCAAGGCTGCTGTGCCTTGGATTCCCCCGGGCAGAAGTGGCCTCCAGGGGCGGCAGAGCTGACCTCTGGACTCACCAGTGGCTCATCTGCTTTTCCTCTAGGAAGCCACGTCTACTGACTCCGTGGGTGTCATGGTCATGAGATGCAGGGGCATGAGGGGAGGGCTGGTGGGTGCAGCCTAGATGTCAGGCGGCCTGGGAATGGGGGTACCCAGCCCTGTGAAGGGCATCCATGCTGGATGGGGTGACTCTCAGCCTTATCTGCCTCTGCCTGACCTGGCAGCTGGTTTTGGGGGGTGTGGCCCTAGGAGTGGGGACCCTCATAGGTGATGCATTCCCCATTGTGTCCCTGTCTGGGGAGCGCACACCGCCCAGTAGGCCTCACTGCCTCCGGCCAGCTGGGCAGACCCCTGGGGCATGCTTGGCTGGACCATGGTGGGCAGGGTCACAGCCCCTCTCAGGGCAGAGACAGTGGGATTTGGGGGAGATGGACTATGTGTTGGCTTCTCTGGGGGCCAGCATCTCACATGGATTCACATGGCCTGAGCGGGCCTGTCTCTCTCCAGCCGCAAGAGGCCAGAGTTGCCCCGGACACTGACCCCGAGAATGACCACGTTTCCCCCAGTGCCGGTCACCTGCGATGCTGTGCGCAACAAGTGCCGGGAGATGCTGATGGCCGCGCTGCGGACGGACCGTGAGTGCCCAACGAGGCTGCCTCCCGCGCAGGCCCGAGGTCAGAGGCCCTTGGGGACGGCCTCTCCCCCAGCCCATTGCTGCTGACCCCAGTTGGGCTCAGGGGTCTTTGGGGACACCAGAGCGCCTGGATCCTGGGCCTCGCTGTGGGGCACTGGGTGGGTCAGGGGCCGGAGGGTGGAGCCCGCAGGGGGGCTAGTCCAGGCCTGTCCCTTTCAGGTGAGCACATGGCCATCGATGCAGACTGCGAGCGCCTTTCGGCCCAGATTGAGGAATATATCCTTTGTGTGGGCGCTGGGGTTTCCGGTGGGCTCACGGGCAGCTGGGCCAGCTGCCCTGTGGCCACTGCACTAATGCCTTCGCCAGGCGTTGGGCCAGGGGTGGGCTCCCCCCTCTTAACCAGTGGGGCCCTCTCTGGGCCTGCTGGTGGGGCCTGGGTTCCTGGGACTCCGAGCCTGCCACTGGATCTCAGCAGGCAGTAGGTCCGCTGGGGGACCTGGCCAGGGGCTCCTCAGCTGGCTGGAGTCAGTCCGCACAGTCCAGGGGGAGGCCCTCGGGTGGCAAGGTGGGCGGAGGGAGTGGCCCCCGACGGCTCCTTAAACGCCTGCACGCATCTTCCGCGACGTGGGGAACACGGACATGAAGTACAAGAACCGGGTGCGGAGCCGCATCTCCAACCTCAAGGACGCCAAGAACCCCGGCCTGCGGCGCCAGGTGCTATGCGGCTCCATAACGCCCCAGCAGATCGCCGTGATGACGTCGGAGGTGAGCCCCGCGGGAGGGGTAGAGAGCCCCGCCCTGTCCCGCCCCGCCCGGGCCTGCGCACTGAGCACGCCTCGCTGCAGGAGATGGCCAGCGACGAGCTGAAGGAGATCCGCAAGGCCATGACCAAGGAGGCCATCCGCGAGCACCAGATGGCGCGCACGGGCGGCACGCAGACTGACCTGTTCACCTGCGGAAAGTGCAGGAAGAAGAACTGCACCTACACGCAGGTGTGTGGCCCGCCAGAGCCCGGGGCCGCGGCGCATGCCGCCACCGGTCCCCAGTGAGCAGCATCTCGGGAGTGGGACCCGCTTGCCTTAAGACGCCAAAGTTGGGGGAACTGGCCGGCCCAGCGTGGAGGGGTCCCCAGGAGTTGCTGCTGGCAGGTGGGAGGGTGTGATGTGTCACCTGGCGCTGGCTGCAGGACCACACTCAGACCCATGAGACGTGGGGCCTGGTGAGGGGGGAGCCGTCGGGCGGCTGGAAGGTCGGGGTCGCTGGGGCAGCCTCAGCGCGGGGGCTCCCCGGGTTGCGCCCTTACCACACCTCCCACAGGTGCAGACCCGCAGTTCTGACGAGCCCATGACCACGTTCGTGGTCTGCAACGAGTGTGGGAACCGCTGGAAGGTAGGTGGGTGCAGCCAGGCCGCCCCGGTCCCACTCTCTGCAGTGGGCGTCTCCGGCCAGTGTGGGGTCTGTGTGGTGTGACTTGCGGGACAGCCCTGCCCAGCCGGCCTCCTGGGAGTTTTGCAGACAGTGGTGGAGACCCCAGCCCTGTTGGGGGCATGAGGGCCACAGGGTCGGACCCCATACCCCATTCCTCGCAGTTCTGCTGAGCCTTTGTGCAGATGTGCCTGCAACCATGGTCCCTGGCCAGCGCTGGCTGTCACCCTCCTTGAGTCCTGCCCAGACACAGCTTCTCTGGAGACCCGTGCCCGCCTGCCGCCCCCGGAAGGCAGCCCCTGCCCAGCCCTGCTGCAGTGCACTCCCCCCTCCCCCCAAAGTATTAAATGTTTCTTTTTGCCACCGTGTTTTCCTTGGCCTTTGGTCCTGGTGGGCCATGTACAGGCTTGGGCTTCGAGCTGGGTCCCCCACTCCCCCCCACCCCGTCACTGGGGACAACCCTCCTTCCTGAGGTCAGGTGACACTTGGGCATGGCCCCAGCGGAGCAGTGCTGGAGGGAGGAGCCCACCCACCTGGCCTGTGTGCCCACACACACAAGGAGATCGGGTGGGAGGGGCCTCAGGCAGCCGACCGAGGGTCCCTTTCCCCGGCCCTGCTGCTCAGGGCCCAGGGCGGAGTCTGGGTCCCACCGCCCTCCATGATGGCCGGTCCTCACCCCACGTCTGCACTTGGGAGGCAGCGTGGGTGGTAGCACACTGCGGACCAGTTGCAGCATTGAATCACTTTGTCTCCCAGAAATTCAGACAGGCCAGCAAGCACATGCCTCATGGGGCCTGAGGGACAGTGGACCCTCCGGGAGGTCACCCCAGTAGTGTCTGGCCCCAGCCGGCTAGCCTCCAGGGATGACCTTTGCTGCATCAGGGATTCCTGCCCACCCCAGGCCTGGGCAATGCCGCTCACTGTATCACCGGCCTCCGCGAGGTGCTGAGGGGCCACACCTGCCCAGGTCATGGCGCCCTGGCCCACACCCTCACTGAAGGGCGGTGGGGGTGGGGAGGGACACACGAGCCAGGTTTCCTCACAGAGCTGGGCTGCTGCCCTGTGTTGGGTCTGAGACAATTCCTGATCCTCTAATCTCCCCCAAATGTGGAAAAAGAGACTTTTGTTTTAAAAATATCTTCAGTGATACGACATCCTATTTTGTGGGAAGGAGGAATGGAGATAAATATGAAGACAGTTTTTCTTTTTTTGATAAAACACTGAGGACACGTTTCCAGGTGTAAAGTTAAAATAAACATAAGAAACTGAGTCCCATCGCCTCGAACCTCGTTCTGAGGTTCTGGGTCTGATTCCGGGGCGCAGACGACATGAGTTGGAGGGTCTCTCCAAAACACAAAACTAGACAGTACAGAGGTTCTACTCCCACCAAAGGCAGTCCGGAGGCCCCCTCGCCGCCTGGGAGGGGGGCCGAGTGAGGTGAGTGGGTCCAAGATGCCTCCTGGGAGGCCCCTTCTCTGACCAAGCAGGAGCACAGGCTGGCCAGCAGGGGCTGGTGTGAGAGGAGCTGCTCGACCCCAAGGCCCTCACACCTGCCTCTTTGCTGGACCTCGGGGGCACTGTGGCCCCTGGGTGGGTGGGGGCTTTGGCCTCCCGTTGGGGGCTGCCCCGGTGCTGGGTCCAGTGTGCCGGACACCTGCTGCTGCCCTCGGGCGAGGGCCACCGAGTCTCTGCTCACAGGTCGGGGCCTGTCTGTACTGCAGCAGGCAGCCTAGGCCTCGTGGGAGGACTGGGGGGCCCCCCGGAGCAGCAGGGCGCGGTAGGCAGGAGAGCCGAGGAAGCGGGGGTAGGGGTCCCGGTGCATGAGCGTGTAGATCTGCAGCTGCGCGTCGTCGAACGTGTGCGCGGAGGGCTCCTGCATCTTCTTGTTGATGCCTTCCCGAATGCGGGAGTCCAGGCTCACCTGCGGGACAGGCGCGCGGTCAGGGTCCGCGGGCAACCCCCTACCCTCGCGTCCCCGCAGCGGCGCACCTCCTTGGGAGACAGGATGGACACGTAGTCCTCGTAGATGAGCCGCGCCTTCTCGTCCACCGCGTGCTGGTCGGCCTCGGCCTTGAGCTCCTCGCAGGCCAGCCAGAAGAGCATGTTCTCCTCGCTGTACTCCGTGCGCAGGAACTCGCGGAACGCGCTGCGGCCGGCCGGGCTGTGCATCAGCTTGTCGAAGGACTGCGCCCAGCCCCGCACCTCCTCGGGGCTCGGTGTGCTGCTGTGGGCGCGCGCGCCAGTTCACACA